TGCTGTATTTTGGTTTTGTATTATATTATCAATCGTAATTTCTATACTTCCACGATTTCTATGGAAATATTGGCAAAGAAATTATTTACCTACAGACGTTGATATTGTGAAAGAAGTATGCAAGAAAGATCCCCAATACGACTTTATTCATGATAGTCAGTTCAATCCAACTTTAGGACTTTACAGGAGTTTTACACATGAAACAGTTCTTTCTGTTCAAGATTCATCTGTTCCTATTTATACTGATGGTACACTTACTCGTACTCCTCGACAGAGCTTTACAACTGAACGTTCAATGAGTTCTAAATCAGGATTAAATGTAATTACACACTCGTTAGAGCAAATAAATGTTATTGAAATACCGGAAACTCCAGCCAGCATGACATTTATGCAAACAGGAATAACTTCGCCTATGCGTGGTTATGCATTTTCACAAGAAGAAGGTACTGGAAGAATTATGGCACCACCTTTACGACGTCGTAAAACTAATCCCGGTCCTTTAGGACATATAACTAATAGAATTGAAACTAGCCCATTACGTCGAATGAGTTTACCGGATGTGAGAGCATCTGCTGACATAACAGCTATTGCAATGGGTGAAGAAAGGACACGTATGGTTCAGTTTAGAGAATCGAATAGTTCGACAAGTACAAGTAATATACATTCTCGAAGAGAAAGTGAAAGCTTAGATGAATCACCCGTTTCAGATTCAATACAGCCAAGACTGACTAGTAATGAAAGTAGTGAACCAATAGCTATGGAAGTAATAAATGATGATGTTAATGATAATATTGATCGAGGAAGTACAAGTATTAATCAAGAAAAAGAGACAGACAATACTGATCAAGAAGTTACTGAATAATTTTTATTAAGAAATTAATGTTAGAAACTTTGTGCCATTTTTGGACATTTAATATTAATATTTAATAGGTCTTTTGAACAATTTGTTTCATAAAATGGTTTACTTACAAGTCTTTTCTAGAAGAATTAGTTAAAACAAAAGCTAATTGGCTTCATTTACACAAATTTATCAAATTAGCACCAAAAATAATCAATTTCAAAAGTTTCAAAAGTGGTGCAACGATATTTTGGTAAAGTAACCAAATATGGCTTTTAAGACTTCACATTACTTCAAGAAAATACTTTGTAAAAAAAAAGGGAAGGAGAGAGGAAAAAAGAAAGGAAAAATACCAAATTTAATTATTAGTGTAAAAACAAAGAAATTTTTAATAAAATTCATTGGATATAAAACGTGTAGAATATTTATCAAAATCATGAATCTAATATATTTCAAAAAAAAAAAAGCTTTATTAAATTATATATATGTTTTTACAATTTTGAAATTTGATAATTATAATGATTACATTGGTACATTAGTATAAGCAAAAATGCTGCAAAGAAAAAAAAAACATCGAGGCAAAAATTATTTGATGTTTTCTAATTACAGAATTAGCTGCTATATATCAAAAATTTTGTAAGCTATTGTGTGATACCCATTATTGTTATGTTTCTAGATTAATATTTAAAGAACAAAATAAAATTCTTATCCTTATAAGTCCTTTTTTCCGTATGTATTCGACATGAATCAATCAACATCATGCATGTACATGTCATAACTTTGTTTTCTACGGTTATCATTCATGAGATCTGATTTTGGAATTAGAAAAGAACGATTATTACGTCTTCCACTCTTTTTACGACCTACTGAGTTTCTAATACCATGAATGGATCCTTGATTACCAAAGACGTTCTCCTCTATTAAACCATTGAATTGATTAAAACATAACCCATAATATTCAAAAATTTCTTTTGAAACATCAATCAAAACCTCAAGTTGCTTATTATTTAGATTTCGGTCTAAAGCCATCTGTATTAATTCTAGTCCTTTTTCCATGAAATCAACATCGTTACTCTTAGAAATCAAATAAATGAGGGATATCAAACAATGACTAATGCATTCATCATCGAATATTGGTGTATCCAAATGATTTGTGAGTAAATGTAAATAATATTTAGTTGCATCATTGACGGTTGGAGAGTATCGTACCATTATCTGATAAACCCGTCGGATATATTTGATTTCACTTTCATTTAGTGGACGTAATGCGACAGGCGTCTGAAACCAAAGTTGTGTAAGTGTTAACTTTTCCAAATTCTCGGTCATACTCAGGTTATCCAAACGTGCTAATCTCTTCCAGACCAATTTATCCAAATCTTGAAATAATGAGATAGCAGCAGACCAATTTTTATTATACTTTGCTTCGCTTGTGATGGCTTGATTTAATTGAGTCAGTGTAGGAGCTTGTCCAACTGATCTCATAGTTTCGATAGTGTGCTTGTTGCAGAAGCAAACAGAAGGTTTTGAGTGTTGACGCGACATTTTAAATTGTACTGTAAAAACACGCGTTTTTATAACAAGATCATAAGTTTCTACAGTATAAAAAAAAAAACAGATATTTAAATCTGTTTTTCAAAGGATCGTGACGAGTTAGGCTTTTACTCGTAGAGAACAAATAAACAAATAAGAGTTGAAATTCTATAAATTCTTATTTTATTAGTAATTTAACTTTTTTTTGCATGTCATTATGCATTAACTCGGAAGTCACTAAACTGTGATTGGCCAATTAAAAATTCTATATAACAGATAACGGAAAAATTGTAATCATTCTAATACGTATAAGGTAGCCTTGCACTAAAACTAGGAACGTAGTCAACGATCTTTATAATTATACAAGAGTAGATAAGGCACCACCAGTGCTCCTATTTTTTTATCTCTTGTTCCTATTTTGATAACAGAATCTAGCCATATTTGTTCTAGCAGTATATTTCATCTTTCTTGATAGAAATAACTAAGTTTTGATAATATTTGAATTTCTTATAATCATTTTTTTTGATGTCAATTCTGAAGTCATAGTAAATTACGGCGGCATAGTATTCGAATTCTTTTGCATTCATCTTTCTTGACGATAACAATTATGTTTGCGGTTTCCTGATAATAAAATGAATTCATTGTGTTTGTATTGATTTTGATCCACGTTCGTGAAAATAATCAGTAATAAGTTTTTTTTTCAAATTAGTAGATTTTTGATAATTTTTGAAGGTCTTGCGCTTATTATTTTCAACTCGGATTCATTTTGATAACAATAAACATGATCCATTATACCCACAACTCTGCTGATTTTGACAATAAATAAATAAATACCTTGCTCATCCTTTTTGACTCATATATATACCATCAAAAATTCGAACAAAAATTTATTTTATCGCGGTTTTCGAAATGGTTGACACTAAAATATTTTGTATACTCACTGTATACTGATATAAAATCATCTAACCCTAAAAAAATTTTTTGTATACTTTAAATATATTAGTAGTATTTAAAGTATACAAAAAAATTTTTTAGGGTTAGATAATTCTATATCAGTATACAGTGAGTATACAAAATATTTTAGTGTCAACTATTTCGAAAACCGCGATAAAGGTTTATATCTTTTGGTTTGTATAAAGAATCCGAATTTGCATATTTATTTAATATAAGAATCCGATTGTTTTTTTGTCTAATGCTGGAATGACAAATCTAAGTCAGGTTTTAAACGAATAACCATATTTTTATATAGTGAAAGTCAAAAGAAAGTTGGTCTTTGATGATGATGCCACAACATTGGTATCTCATATACGTAGTAACTACCATCGCTACGTATCGAAATTTTGTGTACCCATACACAACGTTCCTCCTATCGCTACGTATAACAAGATCTTAAATAGGTAAAATTATACGAACTTTGACATATTTATACGTACAAAAATAAACATGTACGTACGTATAATTATTGAAAAACGACTATTTCTACGTATCACAAAAATTTATTATAACTGTATTTTTTATTCTTGAATAATATTCATGAAGCTGGGCTATTTTTTAAATCCGGATTTAATTAGTGGTCATCAGCTCCAACCGTCACATTATTGGACAATTCAATAATAACGATAGTAAAAGTAAATGCCAAATTAAATAACATCTTTGTATGAACGTACTGCACGTACGTTCATACATACACTCCCAGACAAAAACGTTCGATCACCTAAGAACAAAATTACAGAAATATAATAGGGTGATTGTATACTTTTGTTCTCTATGCGTTTTTTGAGTATTGCAGATTCGGTAGATTCGGTTTTATATCAAATTTAAATCGGATCCGAAGAAAATTGGATATACGACTGTTCTCATAAATTCTGGACAACTGAAAATTTCTGATGACGGATCAGGTAACCAAACTCGGAAATTTTCTGTTGTCCCAGAATAGCTGTAAATCCGAAGGTCGAATCTAGTTCCGAATTCTATGTAATTTGAATTGATAACAAAGAAAAAGTTGGATTTTGTGTAATTTATTGCTTTTATAATTGACTATCGCTATATACTTATCGCGAATAATAGACCATTCGTTTTCAAAATGAATACGCAATAAAAATAACTTTAACAATATTTTAGACTTTTAGCAATTACGGCATTATTTTCTAATCTCGAAACTAAAAATTTAACAGAATACTATTTTTTTTTTTTTATTAATAAAAGACTTACTAAAACGCATCTATGGTGTTTTACACCTATGTATATATTATCTCAAAAACTGGCTAATTGATCAGTGCAAGATGTCCTAAGTAAAAATGCTTTACGCCCCCTAAAAACCCATTCCAAACACTAGCACTAACCCTAAATACTAACACTATCATGAAAATTTCATGTTGAAAATTTTTATATTCAAAACTTAGAAAAATCAATTAAACATATGATACGTAGGTGCAAAACCATCATAGCAGATAGGTGCGTTTTATAATAAATGATTATGAAATTCAACTTGTACTCCTTTAAATTTATCTACAGTTTCTCTACTTACATTTTTTTTTTTTTTTTGCAAGGATACTTTAGTTTCAGCTAAAAAAAAAAAGATAATTAGCTTACTTGTCACAGTCACCCATCACGTAGAGGTGTATCCTATGACTAAGTTTATAACAACCAGGAATAGTTAGGCCCGAGTGGATATTTTAAGTAAAGAAATAAAGAAATACATGTCAACGTTAAGGGGGCTAACAAATATTAGGTAATATATACCCCCTGGGGATCCTCAGTCAAATAATTCCCAGGAGGTATATATTACCTAATATTTTCACTATGAGCAATAAAAGAACATTAGACAAAGGTCCGGAAAGCTTTGGAAAGGAAAAAAAAAAAAAACTATGCTAAAAATGTTATTCCCGCTTTGGGGAGCTCGATGAAGCTCATCACTTCATCCCGATTCTACTGTGCCGATCCCAGCTATCACATTGCCCCGCGTAAACCCTGTGAATAAAGCAAAACTTCCCATGCCTTTGTGGGTTAGTAATATTTTTCTGTTACCGACCATAGATAACGATAACGGAGAAATACATAAAGAAAAAACAACTCATTTATATACCTTCTCAGATCAACGTTTTACAAGTGTGAAAAATCAAAAATTTTTTCTGATTACCCGATTGAATATCATTTATCTGATTGGCTGGAAATCTTGCAATAGCAGATAGGTGAATCCGTACCCGTTTATGCCATGTGACGATCGTCAAATGATTTTCTAAGTGTGATTCAGTAAATCCCAAAGTTATCCTTGATGCCAATATTCGAATGGTTGCGATCCGAAAGTGATTATAAAAAATACGTATGGCTTGGTAATCTATATTGTACATACAATAAAACAATACGAATCGAATCGAATCAAGTTTTCCTGAAATGTCGAGCTTAATAGAATTTTGTGTTGCGTATTGCTTGGCTTGAATTGCATGCTACCAGGGTATGCCAAATAACTTGCATTTAAAGCATATTTTTTGAGAAAAGAGACTGGATATATTTCAAGGTTAATTTGGGATTTCATAATATTGCGATAAATATTAAAGATGATAAGCTAGATAGCGTTAAATGGTATGAAGATATTAGTGTATAGTATTTTGAATGGATTGGATATATGATTCTTGATCACTTTTAAGGATGAGGTTTAAACCTTAATTGAGTTTAATTCTATCCCAGAAGCTATTTAGGTTTCGTGCAGCAAATACAAATACGAGAAAGCTTACGAATGTATTGATTTTAATAATTAGTAGTCATCAATAAGAAAGTATTATCAAATACGGCTTGTCTTATAACAAAAAACGCCATTGCAATAGACAGACAGTCTGAACTTTTTTTTAAAGCATAACCCATTCGGATCCTTCAATATCAACGTGTTTAGCCTCAAAAATCTTTTAAGAGAAATGAGAATACTATTTTATAAATCACAGTATACAGTATATACTGTAAAACTAATGGTAAAAAATTTTTTTCTTTAAAAATTTATTAATCTACTTTTAAAATTTTAATAAAAATTATAAAATAGGTTTTTCTGATTCTAATGGTAATATTCAAGAATATTTTTAAAAATCATTAATAAATCATGTGAATAATAGAAATTATCTCAAGAATTATTTTCATTATTATAGATGGTGATAGGTGGTTCTTCATCTCCTGCAGCTCTATCACGTGGATACAATTTGCGATAGAAATACATTATGACCAGATAAATCCTCCAAATTCCATTAAATACTACCACTGCTGTCGCAGAGATTAACGCAAGCAGCGGTAATAGGTCGATGTGTGGTGCTTTGTTATAATATATCACCTTTAAACAAAAAAAAAAAAAACGCATTAAAATCCTGTTTCTTGAATAAATAAGATAACTTCAAACTCACCAGAATAACAAATTGACTGAGATCCTTTTTCAATAACGCAACAAATCCAATCCAAAAAATCCAATTTTTAATGCTCTTCGAGAAAGGAGCACTCAAACTTTCACTACCTCCAATTTTTGAACACAGTATTTCCAGTGAGTATATATCCACGAAACTTAGCAGCGTGAATATTCGTCCTATAGTACGATGTTTTCTCCACCAATTGGAAAATATGCTATAATTTTGACGTTCTCTACGGATTAAGAATAGACCGAACGCTTCTTTTAATACCGTGGAAGCGACTAGGATCACGATACTAAAGTATGGAAAAGAAATTTTGGTTTACGAAATAAAGATAAAAGTTTCACAAGGATGAAATATAGTATAGGTGACACTACTTTAAATGATTAAAGGCGTCACCAATACTGTAAGATAAATAACCTTGGTATATAAACCGATTCTACGGTTCGTGCATAGTATATAGTAAAAAGAATAAACAGAACAAGGTTGATGGCACTAAGAATGAATTTTAATACCGGACCAACTTCGGACTATTAATTAATGCTAAGCATGAGAATTTTTATAAAATACAATAGCTGATAACAATTGAGATAATAATACTAATTTTTTACATTTGGATCTTTGCAAGAACAAAAAAGAAACGCCAAGGCCATTATAACCAGTATTGCAACAAATAAAAACAAGAAAAAAACGTCAAGGCCATTATTACAAGTATTGCAACAAATCCCATAATAACAAAATAATAGTCGTTCAATAATTCGTCTGATAAAAAATTGGATTATTAAATATAATGATTAGAAAATAGGATAATAGGATAATAAAAATGAAATTCATACGAGCACCTCTTTGGAATTGTATTATTAAAAGATATATAATTTGACATTTTTTTAATAATGAATAATAATTTTTGGTCTATTGATCCATTTGGATAAACAACTACCAAAAATGTTCGTCTCAATGAAATGATTACGAGCCTAAATCATCAAAATTCAATTAATGAATCTAAAACAGTTAAAAGCTTTTTTGCAGCATGACGAATTTACAATGTAAGACATTTTGATTAGCATTTTGGTTAGTTTAATAATCTAACCAATTGTCCCACATTGTAGACGCGTCATGCTTATAGTTGTTAAACGAAACCTTTTTTGCTTGATGAGCCGAAATCTAAGCCCTAAATGACGAAACCTCTGTCGAAAGAAACTTCAAAATCCTTCTGACGAAAATCGAAACCCTCAAATCCTTCTGACGAAAGTCGAAACCTCAAACCTAACCCTAGTACTCCCACTAAAAAAAAAAAAAAAACAAAAAAAAAATGAAGATTACTAAAAATCTGTTATTAACAAAACTCTGGTGCTCCTACTAAAAAAATTGATGAAAATCTATGTTTTCGACAAAGCTAAGCTATTAATAAAAATAAACTTTATAAATTTATATTTAAACAAAAAAACGATGATTTATTATTGAGGCTTTTTAGGCTTTTTATTTATATTTAATGCTGAAGATGTTTATTGGCTTGACCTGGCTTGTATATTGATTTTTAAAAAGCCAATTACAGAAATTATAAATAGGTAAATAAGCCATTAACATCTCTCGAACATTAAATAAATATAGACGTATTATGATGAATTTAATAAATTATATAGATTCAAAAATTTTTTCACTAGAAAATTATAAGACACAGCAATATAGTTTAACATTTAATTCAAATTAATAATTCTAAAATTTGTTAAGTACGTAATTTTCTATAAGGTAATATTGTCGCGGTTTTCGAAATAGTATAAATCAAGGTAAAAAAATTTTTTGGTGTATACTCGTATACCGGATTACCTTAGCAGTTAGCACATCGATGGAAGATCGATACGTACGTACTTATTGTTTACTAAAACAATTACACGTCCAATTGTTACAGGTGCAGCCGGTATACGAGGATACACAGTATACGGGTAGACACCAAAAAAATTTTTTTGCCCGATTTCTACTATTTCGAAAACCGCGATAATATTTTATAACCGAAACACTGAAATATGTAAAAAGAAATATTGTAATGAATTTTTTATTTAAACTTTAAATGAAGATTCTCAACAAAAAACTATTCAATTTTGATGAAAATTTTTATTTTAATTCTGAGTTCATAGAATTAAAATAAAAAAAATTTGATCGAGTTTGGATGGTTGGTTGTCGAGAAATATTCATTAAAAGTTAAAAAAAAGTTAGTTGCAGCATTTTTTTTTTATAATTCTATGAATACACAGAATTAATATAAAAAAATTTCATCAAATTTGATAGTTGATTGTTGAGAGATCTTTGTTTAAAGCTCAAAGAAAAAATTTATCCGATTTGTTTTTCTAAGATTAAGTTTTTTAAAACTTTTAGCGATGATTTCTCAATACTACTAAATTAAATTCAATTAACTTTTTTTTATTTTGATTCTACAAAACTAAAAGATCAGCTAAAAAACAATTTTGTTTATTATTATGTGGCGCGTGCCGATGTTACACTACATCAAATTATCTGTAAACATCACACTTAGAAAATTAGTTGACGATCATCACATGGCATAACCGCCAGGTTTCGTCATTCATTTGGCTAGATTACGTAGTATTTTTCAATATACAGTATATAGGGTGTTAAAAGTTAAAAGGGCCCATTTTTACATTTTTAAAAAAAATAAGTTTTTATTAGATTCATGTATAT